ATTTTTAACACATCCTTAATATTATTTTAGGAAACACGAAGAAGATTTTCGACACTTTCTAGAAAATCTTCAAATAAAAATTTTGTTCATAAAAAATACATTTGGCATACAATAACAGAACATCTCTCTTTTTCTTCCCTGTAATGAAAATGACATTGTAGAAAATGGTTTCTTAACTTTAAAAGAATATATTAGATTGCTTGGAAAACCAATAAATCTTATTTATTCTAAATGGAAATCGCAGCTTTTCAAAGTTTCCTTTGTGAAAATACTAAAGCTAACTTTTCTACTTGAAGATCATTCTGGTCACAACTTTTGCGTTTTACTAGCAAAAAGCAAATAATTTCGTAAATAAAATGTTTTGAATAGCTGACTTAAGGGAGAACTTTAAATTCGTAATTTTATCGAGAAAGTGCAAATGGTATGCAAATTGATGGAACTTTTTTCTCTGACATTGATTTACATTTAACCTTTAACACGAGATGAATGAATAGCAGAAGCAAGGATAAATTTTAAACTATCAACCATATCAGAAATGTTCCTTCCCCAGAAACATATTTATAATTTAACATGTATCATATTTGTTAAAACAAGTGAGAAATTTTAATGTTTCATTCAGGTCTATTATTTAATATTAATTTATTTTAAAGATTGATAAAAACGATGTTTCATATGTTTTACCTAATATTCGTTAATAATATTCCAATAATTAATATTAGCTACGTAAATTAACTAATATTCGTTAATTTAAACAGTATTTCAGCATGCTCTTTCATAAATATTACATAAGCATTCGAAGTTCTTATCATATTTTAAATAAATAACGAAGCGCATGGATTGGAACGTACTTCAATGTTTCAGTATATATTTAGATGGAAAATTCCGTTGTAAGTAAACATTCCAACGGGAAATTAGACAACGTTTCAAATAAATCGATTTTTATTAAATTTTAATTTTATTAAAAATTTTTATTAAAAGTATGCTTCGGTGTAACTAAAAGACACTAATTTTATAATGTAGGCAGTAGTGAAAAAAAAAATAAATAAATAAAGTAAAAATAAAATAACAAAAATAAAGTGAATAAAATAAATAATAATAAAACAAAGTGAATAATAAAAGTGGAGTATGGTTAAACGTTTGATGTAAATGTAGTGCATCAAGTTATAATTTAGATTAAAAAGATGTATTTAAATTTAAACTTCATTCTGCATTTCAAATAATCGTCATGTGTTCTACCTTATATCATCAAACAAAATAGAGCTGAACTACAGCTGCAGAATCAATATTAACATTTGCAATTGTACATGCTGCTACACTTCAGGCGCCGGTAGAGTGGTTAGTGACGCTGACTGCCGTACAAATGGGTTTGGTTTCTAATCCTGGAGAAAGGCATACATGTTTCTAAGCGTATAATGTATGTGCAACATAAGGCACTCAAAATACAATCTCGAGTATTTCGTCTGAAAATGTGAACCGAAAGTCCTTTCGAGAGGCTGAGGAAAGAGGAAAAGATTGTGGGATATCCTCTGATCGCCCCTCCCGGGTGTTAGAAAATGCTGAGTTTTGAATATAGGAAAAAATAAGTAAAAATATAAACTATAGTCTGAGTATAGCTATACGAATATAGTGTTTACAATTCTACAATACTTGAAATAAAGTGCTAAAATATTCTATAGTGAAGACAAAAACAAATCTAACGAAAAAAAGAGTATATGATAATGTCACTCTATATGGCACCCTAGGCATTTAAATACGACATATTGATACAAAACATAATGTAAAAAATCCCGAATATTGCATATTAATAGAATTTTATACCAATATTCAATATAGGTATATTGCATATTGAATTTTGTGTCAACATTCATTATTTAAACGCGAAGAGTGTCATATAAAACGGCATTATCGTACACTGATTTCTTGTAGATATCTATGGAATTTACTATAGAATATTTTAGCATTGTATTTATAAGTGTCGCAGAACCGTAAACAATATTGCGTTGCATTCGTTTTTCTACATTGAGTACTGTAGTTTTTATTTTTATTTATTTTATTTATTTTGTAACTGTATAAAGATTAATGGTGCATAATTGTCACCTGTCAGATAACGTTAATGTATATTAAGAACATTTTATATAATAAGTACCATTAACAACACATAATGAATATTAGCTCTACTAATTGGTATAAAAATATATGCAAACTGTAAGAGTAAACTGTAAAATAATTTTTTTGGAGCATCAATAAAAACCGTCTGATCCGCTGGGATTGCCTTAAGCTGAGGAGAAACGAATAATAAAAGGTTGCTGTAAATTCTTTTTTAAATAGATAGGATCGGCAGCTATCCCTCTAAGAGTTGCGAGTTATCTCCCTCCCAAATGGGGCAGAACTGAGAAATTAATGCGCTGGACTATAACCAATGGTGAAATTCTGATTCCTCGCCCACTTGTACCTGTACCTGCTGCAACTAGTGCCCAGAATGATCTGGCTAATAACTGCGACCATCGATTGAGCGATCGTAAGACCATGGCATTCCTTGTCCGTTTGTTTATTTGATTATGGCAAAGCACGCAACAGAGGTCTATTTAAGGAGAGTGATGCATTCCCGAAGAACAATTAAAAAAAAATGACTCTTATTTACGTGGAACACAGGAAAAATCACGTGATTTCGTGAGATTGGAGAGCCATGGTTTTAATGCAACATTCTTTCTATTGATTATGAGAAAGCACGGAAAATGTTTGATTGGTTTGTACGGGAAGCTTTCGAAAACGAAAAATGTCCTGAAAGAATTCGCGCTATCACATATCCAGCAGCATCGGTAAAGAATGGATTCGTTCGAAATTGTAAATAATATGAGACTGTGAAGTGAGTCTGCTTGGTACTACAGAGTATTATTTTTGCGCTAATGATTTTACTTTCCATTGGTATTATTCTGTTTCATCTACTCATAATAGCTGCTCAGACGGTATAGTGGTTAGGGGACCTATACCATACTGCGGTACCGTATTCGGATTCCGGAGAAGGCATGGATGCTTTTAAATGTATAGTGTATTTGCGACATGAGGGCACTCTAAATATATGGCGAGCCGAAAGACCTCTTGTGTGGGTTGGTGGGAGAGAGGTTGGAGACCCTCGGACCTTATGGACCACCGTGCTTGCATGTTGCAATTAAACGTATAGCCATAGTTCTGACTGACCTTGTAAGTTAGCTAAAATGGACATAGTTATTTCATTAAAATATAAAGGTACTTCTTTATGAATAAAGAAATAAGAATGTTGCAAAATCAGAATAATAAATTGAAAACTAAATTTTCAAGTAGCTTTGCTAATTTTCCTGTTATGACGAAAGGACGTAAAGATGAGTATCAGCAACAATACATCACAAGTTTGCGTGTACAACAGCAATACACCAACCGTCAGAACATTATCATTTGTCACAATTACTTAATGCTGCAATGTGTCCTTGTTCCCTGTAACAGCTCTAGCAAAAAGGCGAATAAAAAGTGAAACGACAATTCCAAAGACACGTTTACAGTCGTAAAAAAACTACGAGAAATACGCTGAAACAACCAGTAACACAGCCTTCAGGCTATCAGGCTATGACATTGAAGAAGCTTTACGCAAAGCACTAGAGTACAGCTCCCGACTCGGTCGATCGTTCTGGAGCTAATCTCTGAACTCAAGACACTACTACTGATACTATTCTCCTGCGTACAGGCAATATCTGGAGTGTAATTCTCCAACAATATCTGGAGTTGAGAAGTAGTGTCATTCAGTATATACAACTTACAAACATGCAGTATATTCAGTATACACAGCTTTTTCCTACGTTCGAGGACGTTCTTGAGGAAAACAGCCAAGAATGCGTTCTAGAATGTTCTAGCTTCGTCTATGGCACATCCCCAATTTTGTCGCCAAAAGGGCGATTTCGCGCCAATTCTGGCAACCAGGTCTTTCTCTGCATCTTTCTGGCAGTCCTAAAACCCGCTTTGCGGGGAAGCTATCTAACCGCAGCTGGGCTTTCGCAACAATACTTTTACGAAAACTGACTTTTACGAACTGAAAAGTGTCAGTGATAAAGCCATATGAAATTGCTTTCAATTTCACCAATAACAGAAGAGGCTGTTATCCATTGCTTTAACTATTAAAAAATTATTTGTAAGGGAATCTACTTTAGGACACGAGAGCTGCCATACCACGTGTCAATTGTTTCCGATCTCAGGTATTTAAAGCGTCTAGAACGAAACATTTTGAGACATGCATTCAGTTTAAAATCTTTCCTGAAGAACAAGTATCTAAGAAAGGATGTGAGATTTGAAAATTATTTCTTTTTTCAAAATACTTTTTCTATAGTGACAAACGACTGAAAGTTTTTTCTGTTAAAATTGTTGTCCCAATTCTTTCCAATGTCTAAAAGAAAAGGGAAAAAGTAATCTTTAATGAATCATATAGTAGTCAAGAAGAAACCTGTTGTGAGGTTTACAAAAACTCGAGTAGTAGCGGTTCCAGAAAGTATTTATTAACAAAATTACATCTTCAGATCCTAATTCGAATACTGATAAATGTAGGAATAATAAATGAGGTATAGATATTACTGATCATATTTTATAAGAATTGGTTGTTTGAGAGGAACGAAAAGTTGATCTGTAGGAAGCACAATTCGGTTTAGTGATTTGGAATGAATTTAGCTGTCGGCAACAATCATTTTCGTTTCTTTCTTTCAACAAACAACAATAATTGTTTCAAATACCTAATTTACCTTCCAAAGAAATCAAAGAACTGTCACCCGAATAACGTATGATGCGACCTGATCAGAAATTTTGCGGAATGTTAAAATATAATTTTACTCCACAATTTATATGCACAATACAATTTATATGTACAATAAGTGTTTCACTTTTAGTGATAGTTTCAAAAGAAAAAAATACTTTCCACAAAATTGGAGACTTTGTTTTTCTGAAATATAATTTCTGCAATGTAATGTTCCTTTTTCCTTCAGAACTATGATTGAAAGTACTGATTGCTTTCCAATGAATTTCGGATTTACAGGTAAGTAAAAATTTCTTAATTTGTTTCTTAACTAATTTAGTGTATTTTTTATTGTTCTTAAGCAAATTAGATCATATCTTTATTTCGATAATTATATATTGATTAATAATTCTTACTTTCAAGCAAGGTAGATTTAAGACGTCATAAAAATAAGTAAGTATTATTAAAGAACAAAATCTAGTTTGTTTAGGAAAATTAAATACCTACTATTGAAATTAAAACAAACACAAATATTCTTTATAAACTATTCATGTTACTATCCAGAACGTAAAAATAACTTAAAACATACCAGAAGTGGTTTTCATTATATAAAAAGCTAATATATCATTAAACGTAATACTAATTTATTCAATTACGAATAATTTAATAGTTTACTGATGGCAGAATGAATCGCTACAAGAATTTATTTTTAAACTTAGAGTAAAGAACTAATTTATCTGTAAGCCCCGATTCAGTTATTAAGTTCTACACTCATTAGGTTATTTTGATGTTGGAGACATGAAAATGCCCTCACCGAGACTCAGTTCTTGACCCCTTGAGTACGCGCCGAGTGTGCTACCATTACATCACGAAGGACTGCAGAAAATAGGGAGAAAATACCTTACTTAATTCGGCTGTTCGGTAATATCTCTTCAGTGTCGTTATGTGTTGTCCGTTCAGGCGGCAATCTCAAGCCGAAGAATATTTAAACCTTATATAATTCTCCTTTTAAACGGCGAATGACGATTAGGGGAACCAGTCGCCAAATGCTGGTGGTGAACAATCATGATCCATCACCTTTTAGTTCGGGCGCCATTGTAGAGATATTAGGTTATTTGGAGCAGAAGTCGTGAAAAACAAGCAATGCTGTCGCCGGGAATCGAACCTGAGCCTCTCGAATATGCGTTAAGTGTGCTATCGTTACACCACCAAGGCATGTAGAAATGAGGAAGCAAATACCTTATAAAATGAGTTTAAAATTATTCTTGACTGATCGGTTAAAGTAAAGCTACCTATAAGTGAAGAAATATCTTCATGGAAGATATTCTATCGTAGAAATCGATCGTAATCAAATTACATACGGAGAAAATCGCAAAAGAACCCATACAGCCAGTCCATTTGTGGAACTGTTAAGTAGGATCGAGCATTTAGATTTTAAGATTTTTATCCACCTCGCTACTGGTGGGGTATATTTTATGAAATGAAGTTACCGTATTAGTACATAAATCAGCCCAACAGCGGCCAAGCGGTAAAAATTGCTGAACACTCCGCTTCAGGGGTTCCGGTTCGGGATTCGAGTTCCGGCGAACGGGTTGGCTCCATGGGCGTTTTCGTGGTTTTCTCCGTGTGTAACGAGCTAGTTTCCCTTAGAATGTCTTCCAGGAAGGCATGCTTTCCTTTAGGCAGATAACTCTCGTGAGCTTTGCCGTAATTAAATAAATCGATAAACATGTTCATATTTATGTATACATGAAAGCATATGTACAGTTACCTATATGGAGCGTAAACAGAGACAGTTTCCCTTAGAAAGTTCTTACGCAGTCAAATCTTTCTTCCTAGAAAGGTGGACCTTTTGTTCTTTATCGTAATCAATTAAGTTTTAAAGAGAAAGAATCCACAGCTTTTTAACACTTTAACCCACGTTTTTATTGCAATTACAGCAGGAAAAAATATGTTATTAACAAAATTTAAATCTATTAATTTCAGAAATAGCTAAGTACAGGTTAACATATGGAGGTACCGTGCGTCAACTTGTAATGTCTTCCCTTACTAACTATTAAAAAAAATTCAAATGTTTATAAGAATTTAGAAAACAAGGTTAAAGAAATGAGCAACTGAAGCTTTCCAAAGGATCTACAGTTTACCTATTATGGTACGTCAATCCCATCGTACGCCTCGTATCCGGTATTTATTAAAAATAAATGATTTCAGACATAAAGATATTACAACACAGTTTCAATACAATTTAAATTCACACATTAAATGGAACAAAAGCTTGGATGTAACAGAAATAATAGATTAAAGTAATAAGTATACAGATAAACATAATGAGATAAACTTAATAAGTACTGGAAACACCATGCTATCATGCTAATTTCAATCCATCTTTACCCTCAGCCTTTAAAGAAATTACGTTTTAGTTTTCTTGTTTTTTCAACAGATGGCGCCAGTACCTTGACTTCTGTTCTGACACTCATATCGTATCTTATCACCATACCTCATCTCGTTCATTTGCTCCTTAGCAGCTGAGGAACGTTGTTTTGTTGTTAAACCATTGAAAGAAGTCTCGCAAAATTTACAAATTTAACGCTGAAGCTTGTTGCTTGACTTCTGCAATAGTAAGAATACCTACGTTATCCAAAAATGTTAAAGATATTCTTTCAAAGTTTGAAATACAGCACGGTACCAGATATCGTTCTTTTATAAGTAGCATATTTCATCCAAAAACTGAACGAAAGAAATGCTGCATCATTAAAATTGTCCTCTACTTTTAATATTTTAATTATAGATTCATAGTGTAGCTGTAGACGAAAAGTAACTTTCCGCGTTAGATTTCAGTTTAAAGTTGGAAATTCGAAATGTATAAATTCTTAATTACATATATTTATAAAATTACTCACACTTTTATCCTGTTATATGAATAAATTGCTCACATGTGTGCGGTATTCACTATAAAATTTTATGTTTTGTTTAGGAAAAGGGAGCACATCCGAAAGCGATAATCTGTCGGCTGCTTTGGTGGAGCAAATAGAAGCAGGAGCTATTGGGTAAAATCCGTTATGAAGGTATCTTTTTAAGTTCTCAGAGGTATAAATTTTATGCAAAATAAAGTAATTAAATAAATGGAGAGGAAAAAGAATTTAAAGATGCTTAGTAAGCTTTCCTTTTATTTATGCTTATACATCCTCATCCAACTCCCTTTTAGTTCGGGCGCCACTCTAGAGACATTAGGATATTTTTTGGAAGCAGGGAAGATGAAAAATTAGCAATTGCCTTCACCGGCACGGACCTCTGGAATTACGGACCAGTGTGCAAACCATTACACCACGAAGGCACGCTAGGAAGGTAGGAGAAATACCTTATAAGTTGCTTAGGTTTCCTATGTGCTTTCAAAATATTTTAAAGCCCCAAGTGAAAGGTTAGTAACAATGATTTAACATTTAAGGAAACCATAAGTGAATGCTAGAGAGTCCTTCAAGTTCATCGATACATTTTTACACAATAAACGTTGTTTGAAAGGAACGGAGAAAATATAGAAAGTAAATATTTGGCTAAAAGATATGATTTTTAACTTAGAAACTATAGGGCTAAATGGAAATCTGAACTTTGAGAAAAGTATAAAATATGTAATGGGGAAAATACAGAAACCAACTATTTGGCTGAGAGAGTATGATGACAGAAATTTATAGTGGCAACAGGAATTCCAATTTTGTTATCTTTTAGAAGAATATAAAAATTAGAACTGTTAGGAATGGCTGGAATGAGCGATTTTTTCAAGCTTAATTCAGTGTACGTGAAATGGCTTAATAGTTGTTTCAACTGTAAGAAAGGTCAAAGCTAAAGCATTTTCAGAGATCAAGCTGTACTGGCCTTCGCTTGCAGTTATTTGTAGCTTTTGCAAAAAATTATCTGGCTAATCTTTAGAATATGGTAACAGGTAGTTTGGCGACATTTTGGTAAGGCGATAAAGTTTACTAGGTAGAACTTTAGCAATAATCTGAGAAGTTCGAATCACAGATTATTTTGTCTCAGAGAAATGAGAGATCATGAGACATGTCATGTGACATTTTACGGAAAATTCCCATCGTGATTTTAGCTAATAAGCACTTAGAAACAATTTCGCTGCAAATTGCAGAATCGTCCACTTATTTGTTTGGCGCTTTTTACAAGAGTAAGAAGAATTGGATTTTTGCCAATTTTCTTTGACTTTTTAAGTGAAAATAGGTCGATGTGTGCATGGATAAAGTCAAGAGTGTGCGCCATGCCAGTTTTGTGCAATTCTGGGATGTTTTTTGAAGTGAAAATAGGTCGACGTGTACATGGATACCGCGTATGTGCAATTCTTAAAAACGCGCGAAGCAGTGGGCGATTCTGCATTTTCTCCCAATTTCGCACCTAATCTTCGTCATGATTAAGCACTTTTGTTCCATAAAAGTTCTAGCATAAGCGTAATTCGGCTAGCAGATTGTTAAAAAAAATGTTGAGGAAAAAAAAAAAAAATACTAGCAGGTTGCTGTAGCAGGGCTGGTCGCCAAATCTTCGCCAAGTTACCATAATTCGAAGATTCACCATTTATGTTTATTAGTTGATGACGTTAATTCCAATCCATATTCTCCTAGCACTTTCAGAATTCTAAAATATTGCTTTCTCATGTTTTCGTGCTATTCACTTCGACAGATGGCGCTAGGTTTGTTTTTGACGTTACTACGCTCATTGCTTTTGATATAAAATGGTTGCGCTGCTAGCATCTTTTTGTAAAATTTTGTTGAGAAACCTCCATGTATCTGATAACCTTGAAACCAATACTTAAAAAAAAAAAAAAAAAAAAAAAAAAAAAAAAAAAAAAAACGTGTTGCTGTTCTTGTCTAATTTATTTTTTTTAGTCTGTTTCTCTTTGTCGTTCGCTCTGGTCTTTAAAGAAAGTGGCCGAGTATTCTTTTTCAGGATAGATTTCTTTAATCTTCTTCACGATTAATTTACAAAGAAAAACTATCCAGAAACAAATGAACGATCTAGTACATATTAAAAAGAAAGGAACGAAGTTTACTAAGAAAAATAATAATGATTTGGACAGTATTTTTTAGCGATATATTATGATGCTTCAGTTTATTGATTGGGGATATATTATCTTCTTTTAATGTTTGAAATAAGCATGCACTTATCTCTTGCAAATTTTCATGAGCGCCATAAAGCTTGTACGGAAGAGACATACGTTAGCGCGAAAGTTAAAAGAAAGTATAATACGTTCTGTAATTTGGCACTGATTTTAAATAAAAGTATAATGTTCTTAGAGCTATTGGCATAATTCCTTGTGTTCGTAAAATAAAAACATTCTGCTTAGAACTGTGAGTGACATAAATAAAAACTATAATGATTCTAGAAGCCAATGGGATTATCCCTTATCTTCAAGAAATAAAAACATTCCGCTTAGAATTGTGACTAATCTTTTCTGGCATAAGATTACTGTAAAATAACATGACATGTGAAATTAGAGGATTATAAATTTAAGTTATGCTTTGTTTTGAATAGACAGTAACATATCTGGCTCGATATGTCCCGGAAAAGACACCTGGTAGACTAGATTGCATCTACAGAAGTTGCAGATTCACTAGAGCTTACTGAATAATCATTACTAGATATGTCTTATTTTGCCGTTTTTGCCATAATTATCCTATGGTTGATCCTACCCTACGGTTTATGCCCTAATTATCCTATTATTGATTGTATCCTATGCTTTATGCCATAATTGTTCTATGGTGTATGCCATAATTATCTTATTATTGATCCTATCCTATGCCATAATTATCCTAATATATTGCACTGAGAAGCAACACTTTAAAATCTACATATTTATGATACGCAAACCGATAGAAATGGTAGCATAGGTAATATGAAATATTAAATATGATTAAAAATATTATTACTATATAATTATTAGTTATCAACTGATTGAAATTACAAAAAGTAGCATTGAATAAATAACCGCAACAGAGTTTACTTGTTTCCATGTGACGGGAAGAACCGTCTGAATGTAATTTAATTAGTATTGTTATAGTGGTTTGTGTTAATTTTGAATACCAGCCCCAAAATTTAATTTATCCAGTTAATTAATTTTAAGAAATCAGAAACTGATGACGTAATTATTTTCAATCCTTACTTTGTTACTAAGAGACGATTAAGACATTTTAGCTCGCCATTAGGCAGTTTTGTAGTAACTATGTAATTACACAGAAATTAAGTATTTTTTTTCAGATAATGGTGTTTAGTATTTCGAATTCTGGACATGTGAAAAATATATTTCATTCATTTTCTGAGTAATATATCTAGTCATTCTTATTTTATGGTTTTAGTGAACTAAAACCTATCATTGTTTTTAACAAAGGCTAAAGATTCATGAAGACTGGGGAGCTACTCCTGCAGTTATTGACACCGCTCTTAGAGTTGCAGAAGAGTATGACATTCAAGTAAAGTATATTCTTGCACTGACTATGCTTTAAACGAAATAGCTCAAGAGGTTGTTATTTTGAATTTTTCACTTAAATCTTATTAAAGTGGGTTTAGGTCTTAAAAATAATGCTTTATACAATCTATGCAGGAAATGTTTTAAAATACTCAGAAAAAATATACAATTCCATTATAAAATAAATAACTTGAAAGTCAAGAGCTTGAAAAATTTAACCATTATAATGTTTTATGAAAAGAAGTTACGTCTAAATTCGTAAAACCGTTCTTGATCCACAAAATACATACAGAGAAGTATCTTATCATGGGAAATCATATTCTAAAGCAACAATGTAATTTAAAGGGAATTTATTTTGGCTTTTAATGCGGAGGTAAAGAATCATTATATTAATATTTAAGTTTGCCATTAACGGCAGGACTGTATTTACTATAGACAAAATTACACCATAGACAAGAGCTTCATCGTAACTGACAAAACGCATAAACAGTATTGAATTCAGATCATTTGAACGTTATACACTCACGTTTGTGAAAATTGCAACACCAAGAAGGAATCGTCATAATTGAATGCAATTTAATACACAGTTGAGTGGTAGTGGTACAAATAAATGATTAAATGTTCAAAGCAAACAAACAAGAACAAGAGATCAGAATCAGTATTTTGTGTGGCCACCACGCGCCGCAATAAGTGCTGCTAGACGACGTGGCATGAGTCAAACAAAGTTTGAATGTCTGACTGAGGAAGAGCATTCCATATCGTTTGTACGCGTACCCAAAGTTCGTCTGCAGACGCAACAGGACGAGGATCACGAGCAAGACGCCGACCAATGACATCCCACACATGTTCAATTGGCGACATATCCGGGGAACACGCAGGCCAAGGAAGAAGCTGTACCTGCTGCGCTGCAAAGAAGGATTTAACAATCCGAGCAGTATGAGTGTTGTGAAAATTATTATTAGTATATGTATGCAGTAAAAATATTCTGGCACCATATGAGGTGAAAATATTAATTGAGAAGAACTATAAGTAGTGAAAATATTTGTAGCAGTAAAAATATTTATATATTTTAATTTCTTATGTAATTATCAGCGATGAAATTACAACAATGATTAAGAGTACATCACGTTGTTTCCGCAATAACCCGAATGACAGGGATAAAATATGTGACCCACAGAGGATAGCAAAATAAAGTACTTACCCCAAGTATGACAACTGTATGTTACCAAAATCAATTATATTTTATTCTTCATCTTTGATATTGAATTAAGTATTAATATAAATAAAGACGAATAAATTTTGAACATCAAGCACGAGTGATGCGCATCACTAGAGTTAACACTTGCACTCAGAATAAAGTCAATCTATTCTCGATCCGCTCGAAACAAAGTCTTGGTGTAAAAGGAACAATCAAATTTTGAAAATTTTGATGGCAGTCATTAAGCATACTTGAATCAATCCTGGTATTTCTGCATTTTCTTCTTTAAATCAGGAAGTTTGAAATCTCACAAACACGTGCGCGCGAAGAGTTCTGGAAAGAGGAAGAACTGCTCAAAAAAATTATTTTCTGCAAGCAATGATGTACAGGAAACAGGAGTAATTATTTTCTTGAATCTTCATGTAAAAATCTCACTAAAAGGATTTTCATCTATGGCAGACAGCATTGAAGGAGCAGCAAAAAGCGAAGCAGGAAAAAATGGCACATCATATTTCGGCCAGGGAGAGGACAGACCGAAGCCCGTCCTACACCCTCGAACGCCAGCAGCAGAAGAAGAAAAAAACCGGTCCAACAACTGCCACCAAAGGCTTGGACGATACGATGACAATTCTTGAAGCGATATCGTCTGATGGTAGATGCCGGCTTGCTAGCACATTCCCTCCGGCCAAAGAAAAAGCACAGATCACCGCATGAACACTGCACTTCACTGACGCTGAGCACTGTATGATAAATTTCACCGAAACACAGTTCATTGCACGATAAATTTACTGACGCACAACACTCATTACAAGTATGATCTGGTATAATAGTTAAATCAAATGAAAAATAGTAAAAATTATTTTATCATAATTTCACTGTCTGGGATAAGTGCTACACATATGAAGTACAATCAAAAATTAATAAATACATATCATACAAGTTACTCATATAGTTACATACAGCATACACTTTCATTACAATCTGTAGTCAAGTTACAATTTTCTCTCTTTGTAAATGGAAATTGTAAGCTAATACCTATTTTTACATTCATACATTTTCACTGTTAAACACAACTCTGCATTAATGATCATTGTTTTTGACAAGTTTCTAATTATACAGATTCTATAAATTCTTCTGGATGACATCAATTTGCCCTTGAAATTACTAAATTCATCTAGACCAATTACTCTACAATTTCATTTTTTTTGAACACATTAATTTTCTTCTTCCTCTTTTTATTATTGTTATATATGTATATATATTTTACTACTCAAGCTTGTTTTAGTAGCACAATTTTCATGTCTAGCTCGTTACTTGTAATGCTCACTAAGTGTACTGCACACTTTTTTTTTTTTTTTTTTTTTTGTAAATTCCATGACATTAGTCAACCCGGACCAGCCTGCAGCCAACCAAACGTGTGAGTGAAGGTGGCCAACCGACACCCACACTGATCAAGAAATCTCAAAAAAAAAATTCTTTTGTTGGAAATAAATCCACTAATTTCCTAACACTTACAAATGTGTGTATGTTTTCTATTTATTTATTTTTTCTAACTTAGTGAACAAGAAAAACAAGCTCGATGAAATAAATGTTCTTAATTAATCAAATTGAACCTTGGATCAACTCTTTTAAATAATTTGCTACAATGAATTTTTGTAGTTTTGTTGTCTTCGATGTTTTGAATTAAGTAGTTTTTATTTCGAAAAATTTTTATTATTTTGAAAGGTCCATTGAATTTTGGCTGAAAAGCATGAGGTGGTTGTAAAGCCTTTAAAAATACCTTCATCTCCAATATTAAATTTTGGTGGTTCTCTGCCTTTAACGAACTTTATTTTGAGACTGAAAATATTTTTCTTCTTTTCTTCGTTTTGTTTCACTAATTCTCTAGTTGCTTTAATGTGTTCTCTCTGACGTAACAAGTATTGTGAAGGATTATCTACCGTTGCCGGTTCATTATTTGTATCTAGAGGTGTATTGAGTTCTCGCCCAAAAAATAACTGTGCGGGAGTAAAACCTGTCACTATGTGTTTAGAATTGTTGTAATATAGTTTGAAAAAAGCTAATCTATCTGACCATTCGATTACCTTATTGGATAAAGAAGCTATGCTTTCTTTCATAGTTCAATGAACTCTTTCTATGATTCCATTAGACTGTGGATAATAAATGGAGCTTTTTCGGTGTTCAATATTGAGATCTTTTAGAAATTTTTCAAATTCAGCTGACCAAATTTTGAAGCATTATCAGATAAAATTACTTTTGGAATACCAAATTTTGAAAAATAAAGATTCATACACCTTATTATTGTAGCAGATGTAATATTTGCCAGAGGAATAGCTTCTAAATATCTTGAATAATGATCAATAATAGTTAGAATGAAAAATTTGCCATCATGTGATCTGGGCAATTTACCCACAATGTCAATTGCTAACATTTCTCCAGGTGCTAAATCAGATTTTTTTTTATATTGCTTGTAATTGTTTTACATGACCTTGGTTTATTCTCCAAACACTGTTGACATTTTTTCACAAAAGTTTTTGTATCTAAAAACATGCCCTTCCAGAAATACTTTTTCTTAATGAATTCATAAGTTTTACTAGTACCAAAATGCGGAGCATGAGCAATCTCTAAACAAGGTTTTACTAAAGAATTTGGAAGTAGAATTTTATTTTCTAAATGCCTTGTCTTTAAATGATGCGCTCTAGGTCTTAATTTTATCATTACTACACCATTTTTTTTTTTGTCAATAAAATATTTTCCACAAATATCAGCTTTATTATTGTTAATTTGGCTTAAGATATCCTTAATATTTTTGTCATTTCTTTGGTGATTAACTATATTTTGGATGCTTAACTGAGTATTATCTGAATGAAATAAGTTGATATTGTTTACACTATGCGATGCTTCAGGAACTCTAGAAAGAAAATCTGCAGGATTGGAAAAACCAGGTATATGTTTTAGAGAGTAATCAAAATCTTGTAAATACAACAACCATCTGGCAACAATGTCAGGCTGCTTATCCAGCTGCATATGAAAAGTGAGTGGTCTAGCATCAGTTAAAATAGTAAATTTTTTGCCATATAAATGTTCATAAAATTGCTTGACAGAAGAAAAAAATAGCATAAAGCTCACGCCTGATCGATGGGTATCTAGACTCAGCAGGAGTGAGAAGTTTCGAATAAAATTCTACAGGAAAGAATTTATATCATCAATCTTTTGTAACAGAATACCACACATAGCTACTTTAGAAGCATCAGTGATCAAAAATATCTCATGATTATCATCAATGTTCCTTATAGTTGGTTTGTCCAACATTATTGATTGTAATTTATCAAAAGCATCTTGGCAATCTTGATTCCAAACAAAGGGAACATGTCTTTTAGTTAAGTGTACTATTGGCTGAGTGATCTCAGCAAAATTATGGATTAAATGTCTAAAATAGTTCATCATGCCAAGAAAAGCCTGAACTTGTTTTACATCCTTTGGAATAGGAAATCTTGTAACCTTTGAAATATTTTCTTCAGAAGGAGAAAAACCTGCTTGTGAAATATTGAAACCCAAATAAGTTATTTCAGATTTACAGAGCTGCACTTTAGCTGGATCTAGAGTTAAATTAAATGATTTTAATCTGTCAAACACTTTTTGAAGAATTACTTTTAACTCACTCATACTATCAGCTGCAATAATAATGTCGTCTAGAAAAAATTGAACATTACTACCTTTAATGTCATTTAAACATTTTGAAATTAATGTATGGAAATAAGAAGTGCTATTGCGAGCTCCAAAGGGAAGTCTACAAGGATGAAAATTACCCAGTTCGGTGCAAAATGCCAACTTTTCTTTATCAGAGTCCTGCAAATTGATCTGGAAAAAGGCTGACTTCAAATCCAGTACACAATACAATTTCCTACCAGCAATGTTATGCAAAATCTCAGAAATTTTTGGTAAACAAATTTTGTATGATTCTGTGATACAGTTTAATAGACGATAATCTACAACCATACGAAATTTTGGTGCATTTTTATCTTCACCAGGTAAATTCTTTTTCCTAACAAATATTACAGGAAAACTATAACTTGAAGA